AGATTTACTGATTTTGAAGCAAATATCAAAAATAAAACTCTACAAAGTTTTCATTTGTTAGAGATTGAGTCCACAAACCTCTATAATGATTATTATCTCGCATCTTAAAGTCGAATAATGGCACCACTTTCTGAAGCTATTTTGACATATTATAATAAATAAAATTATGAAATTTTTGTTTATTTATACTGATATCTGCTAATGTTAGAATACCCTATTTCATGTAGATAGGCCCAGTAATTACAGGGATCCATCCATCCATTTTCTTCCGCTTATCCGGGGCCGGGTCACGGGGGCAGCATTCTGAGCAGGGACTCCCAGACTTCCCTCTCTGCACCCACTTCCTCCAGCGCTTCTGGGGGAATCCCGAGGTGTTCCCAGGCCAGCCGAGAAACATAGATCCTCCAGCGTGTCCTGGGTCTTCCCTGGGGCCTCCTCCTGGTGTGACATGCCCTGAACACCTCCCGAGGGAGGCATCCAGGAGGCATCCGGAACAGATGCCCAAGCCACCTCAACTGGCTCCTCTCGACGTGTAGGAGCAGTGGCTCTACTCCGAGCTCCTCCGGTGTGAATGAGCTCCTCACCCTATTTCTAAGGGAGCGCCCAGCCACTCTGGGGAGGAAACTCATTTCGAGCGCTTGTATCCGTGATCTCGTCCTTTCGGTCACTACCCAAAACTCATGACCATAGGTGAGGGTAGGTATATATATATATATATATATATATATATATATATATATATATATATATATATATATAATTTTTTTTTTTTGAGCTTTGGAGATGTAGACAGACTAATAATAAAAGATTACTCAAACGTGTGAATGAAACTCCAGGTAGGTTTATGAGGAGGTAATAGCATTAGAACATAGTTAAAAGCGCGACTCTTGTGAGCTTTTTTGTGTAATATTGACCTTAAGTGAACCAGGAATATAGGAGGATTTACAGAGATATTATTATCAGTATTTCATATCATTGTAGGTGTGATGGCACCTTTGGCATCAGATCATTTGGCATGATAACATTTATTGACTAACTAGGCGTAGTTCAGCACCTGTCATTATAAACCTGATATCAGTTTTAATGTGAAGAGAAACGAGCACACAAAAGCTCTGTTGGTTTATGGTTGGTTCAAATAATGGAAAATAACCCATAAATCCATATACCATTAGAACAGGTGGTAGTCTACTCTGTTTACATTTGAATGACCTAACTTGACTTTTCTCCTTTGCCTCTGATTGGCTCAAATTTCAAGAAACATATAATGCACATTTTTCCTTTATGTCAAAGTTATTTCCTCATCAAAAACATACCTTTTTATCTCAAACAGAAAATACTCAGTTCCACTTTGTGATGTCATGGGATGATACAGGAAGTGTTCCACTAAGTTTTTAAACTCCTTCAACCTTTACTACAATATTTTGGATGGTTTTCATTCCCTGGAATTGCCCATCTCTACTGAATAAAAGGTAAAAGGTAGCTATTAACTTGAAAACATTTCAAACATTTCATGACATCACAAGCTGGAACAGAGCATTTTGACATTTTGAGGTTTGACGATAATAAAGGATTATTCAAACATGAATGAAACAAAACACAATGCCAGGTATGGTTCTGATGAGCTTATAACATGGTTAAAAGCTCACGTGTCCATTTTGCGTAATATACAGTAGGAGCTTGTAGGTGAGTCTGAAAGTCTAAGGCAGCAGTGAGCTACTTTTACAAAAAGAAAATGCCAAAAAAGTACTACTTTACGTGGTCACAAGAAATTTCGCATAGGAAACCCGTAGAAGCGTTAGAAGTCTATAAAATATAAACATTTATCCATGTATTAGGGCACAAAGTTAGGCATAAAATGATACATTTATAATATAGTTCATCAAATTTGAGGGTTAGGGCACATGAGCTCATTTGATATTATATTTTTTCCTGTGTAACCAGTAGGCATAGGATTTGATATCTGGATTTAATATTTAGTGAAACCTGCACATAAATAGCGTGATACGTAACCAGCAGGCATAAGACATGATATCTCGATTTAATGTTTAGTGAAACCCGCACATAAAAGATCTGATGCATAGCCAATAGGCATAGGACCTGATATCTGGATTTAATATTTAGTGAAACCTGCACATAAATAGTGTGATACGTAACCAGCAGGCATAAGACATGATATCTGGATTTAATGTTTAGTGAAACCTGCACACAAAAGATCTGGTGTTGGTTTATGCAAATTGGAATACTGAACAAGAGAAATTTCACTTCATATATTTTTTTTAAACGTGACATTTGTTTGGAAAGTTGACCATGAGAAAAGGACTGTGTTTAAGTGCAACATTTTGAAATGTATAGACACATTTACAAAAAGTCTTATTTAAGCCCATAACATTATACAAAATTGTGATATCATGTGGTGGTAGTTTTCATGTTAACAGCTACCTTTTACCTTTTGTTCACCAGAGATAGGAAATTTCAGAGCTGCAGTTGTCCAAGTTATTGTAGTGAAGGTGTATGGAATTTAAAAAGACAGACACCACATGATATCACAGGGTCGAACTTGTGGAGTGTTTTCTGTTTGAGAGAATTCAGCCTAAATATGCAGGGTTTGTGTGTTAAACATGTGTGAATGAAACAAAACACAACTCTGGGTATATTTTTGATGAGGAAACAACTTTATAACAGATTAGAAAATAGTATAAAAAACAAAAACAAAAAAAATGACATGTGAAATAGCAATCACCAGGGAGACAAGCAGGAGACATCGCCATCCCCCACGTGGCCACTTTTTTACTCTAAACCTGAAATTAAATGCATGAAAAATAGATAACTTTCTATCATACTGTGGAACATTCCAGGAAAGCTGCCAAGTAATAGCATTTTTATGAGACAAACTCAAGATGGACCTTCCACCATAAAACTAATGTGCCCCTTTAACGGTAAACCAAGCCTAAATCAAAGTCTTACATGACATTTTGCCCTGTACTGACATTTTAAACCTCAGATTTACAGTGTTCATGTCACGTGAACACCCCTTTACGCATGGACTGAGTACTTTTGTTTTACGCTATTTTCTGATTTATGTTATAATGTTGTTTACTCATCAAAAATATACTGAGTTGTGTTTTGTTTCATTCATATTCAACACGCAAACACTGCATATTTAGGGTGAGTTCTCTCGTACAAAAAACATTCTGTTCTACCTTGAGATGATCATGCAGTAATGCAGGAAGGGCTTCAGTGTGTTTTTAAACTCCCTACATACACCTTCACTAGAATCATTTCGATAATTTCAGCCTTGGAATTGCTGATCGCTGCTAAACAAAATGTAACCATGTAAACAACATATGACATCACAAGGTGGAACAGAGTATTTTGAGCTTTGGTGATGTAGACCAATGTTTCCCAAACTTTTTTTTCTGGGGACCCATGTTTTAAAAATCACAAACCTTCACAACCCAAGTCAATAGACATTATTCATAAATCACAAAATAAAGGTGGATTTGACCATAATTGAACATTAATGAGGATATTTTATTGTTGACTGAATGATCGTGTCTCTCTGAACAATTAGTATTACTCAAGTTTTAAACAATGAAAAACAGTCATTGAATGAGCAATATCCATAAGTCGCCTATTTGGACTCATTGATTTTTCTTTTTCAACATTCAATTGAACCAGCAATATTGGAACAAAATAGTCAATAAAATCATAACAAAAAGATAAATTATACACAACATGTCTTAACATTTCAACATTTCTAATGAGATAGTTGGGCCTGTCTGTGTTTTTGTAGCACGTTCCAGTCCCGGTGCAGGAGAAGAGCGCAACACGCATATCAGACGCAGCAATCAGTCTGTTTTTATGCCTTGTCTTCATTAGTAGAGTACAGAAAATCCAAATTCACACACATATGCAATAGTGAAAGGAATAAGCATAGAAATACTGGCCCTACTGAGGACAGGATATTCTGAAGAAATGCTTATCCAGAATGACAATAAGGTCACAGATCCATGTATACAACTGTAAATTGGAGACCTACATGCAGATCGTGACTAGCCAGGCTGGCGCCACCTAGTGCCTCTGCTCAATTTTTTCTCTCCAGCGACTAGGTCAGGAATTGGAATATATTAGACGATTTGCAACCAGCCAATCAGCGAAGAGCCATGCATTCTGTGTTGGCAACAATTTTTCGAAACAGGATTTAAAGCTGGAGCAAAGAGAATATTCTGTGAATTTTATCAAGGGGAAAGACGTTATTGCCCTTCTTCCTACAGGATTTGAGAAAAGTTTAATATGCCAGTTAGTCCTGCGCATTACGTACGTCACGACCAAATAGCAGCGACTGGTTAAATGAAAAAAAGTACAGAGTGAACGAATTCTAATGCTGTGAGATCAGACGGTATCTACAAAGTGAAACCGGCTGATGAATCTAGATCATGACAAGGAGACCCCCCCAAAAATCTCTTGTGACTCACCTGAGGGTCCTGACCCAGTCTTTGGGAAACATGATGTACACAGACTAATATTAAAGAGTTACTCAAACATCTCCCGGTATGTTTTTGGGGAGGTAACAACATTCTAATATAATCAAAAGCTCACAACAGTCAGTTCTGTATAATATAGGACCTTTAAAGTGTTGTTGTGATCATGGAGAGTAGTAGTCGACTCTTTTTCAAGCTGCACTGGGGGGGTCGTACAGTTACATAACAGCAATACATTAACCTTTCCTTCATAATGCTTGATCTAACCCTCGGATGCTACTCCAAACTGAGACTACGCTGATGTTAGAACACTATTCCCACCACGTCTCACATCTCATCACGGCCATGGCCTCGTTACTCCACCGTCGTATCGCTTTAAAGTGTGATCGCCTCTGATGTGGAGCTCGGGAGGCCTAATCAGTGCCATGAAAGCCCGTTCGGGGGGTTCCTTTGGGTGGGCGGAGGGAGGAGGGACCGCCCGCTCTGTAGTCTCACCCATTCGCTCAATAAAACTCCGCATATCACCCACGGCACCCTGCGCGTCCGCTCGGCTTCAACTTCAGACATATCGGCGACGCGGAGAGAGGCGGGCGCGGATTCGGCGTTTTCACGAAGCAAACGACTCCGGGGACGGCTCCAGGTACGGACGAAAAGCGGTGCAAAATGTGCAGATCACGGGGAGTTAAAAACAACAACGAGGAGCGGGAGTTAGCTTGTTAGCCAGACTGCTAAACCTGAAGGGCTGTTCTTACTGGCACAACCACAGCTGGATACGACCACTGGACTCCAAAGTAGCTCTATTGTTTCATATGTTGATTGGATTGCGTTGAAACTAAGTAAGAATAGTAATTTCACTGGCGAACGCTGTTTCATTGAGTAGTTAAACCCATTTACTCAAATAGTGTTAATGTTGTGAACAATAAGTAGCTAGCGATTACTGTGAAATTTCCTATAGAAGACGTTTTTACGCAAAACTATCCAATCGGTTTAGTCTATCTTTTCTTATTTTTATTATCAGATTAAACATGATTCTTAGTTAACCCTGTGAAGCAACTAAACTTACGCTAATTTCATTGTTTACGCGTCTAATATGGCTTTTTAGACTCAAAACAATCGCCAACTTCATTTAACCGCATCTACAGCAATGTTGGCTCAACCCACGTTGTTGTATTTTTTTTTGTTTGTTTTGTAAAATTTTCACTGGATCGATTTGCAAACTGCACTGCTAAACTTTTGTGAAGGGCACGTAACTATTAACTTGCACAGTTGGCTCCTGATGTAAGCTGCTCTGATGTCTGAAAAACGGAAAGTTATGCACCGTCCTGTGGTTCTTGCGTGATTTCTGCAGAATTAGTCGAGTTTCAGGTCGCTTTTGGGGGTGGAAGTTTGTGGGGGTAATGGTGGTGATCCCTGCCCCCGAACAAAGGAGGTGTGCATGGCGGTCTGGCTCTGGGTCCCATCCCCCCTCCCTGGGAACTGTCAAATTGTGTAGTATGGGCAGTGGATGGACTTTAGACTTTTTTTCCAGGGACCCCACGCCAATGTGTGCACTTTGAGACTAGACAGACACGTGGAACAGGATGTGATAAGGTAATGTGGGCAAAACTAACACTGAGATTTGTTAGTGAAAAAAAAAATTCTCTCTTTATATAAGTCATTTCCAATCTGCAGTCCAAAGATTGCGGTTCTAGAAAACACGTCTGGACTAAATTGTGTGAATTTTAATGATGAGATGATAGTTGAATTGCGTCTAAATATGTTACAATCTTTGCTGTTATTTAAAATCATTATTTACCAGACAGGCCATAAAAGACCATAACTTACCAGATGGAAGAATGATATGGGGTTGCCAACAAATCCAGGGGTAAAATCTGGGCAGCTCGGAAAGATCTAGCTTATCTGTTTTCGATATGGAGGCTCAGCTTGTTCAGTAGTAACTAAAATATCATGGGGGCCCGTCACATTTTAAAGCGACTGTACGTAAGGTTTAGATTTTAAAGTACATAGACATTACCTAGCTGTGTCCCCAGATAAGACATAGGCATGTTTAAATCTAATATAAATCTGTTACTGGTAACGATTGCAATGCTGATTTATTATGAAGTACAAAAACATTGGACATGATGACTAAGCTGTTTACTATAATGTTGTTTGCTCTCAAAATGATTATCAGAAAAGATATCATAATGAGCGTCACATGACTCTCTCAGTTGAGTTGCCAGTTTTAATGCTGAAATATGATCTCAGTGGTCACTACTGAAACTTCAGAACTTACAGCTAATCATTAGTCAGTGCTAGTGCAGGCTCTGCTTCTGAAGTGTGTGCTGTCCATATACTGAGAACGAGACAAGCTTGTATATGTCCTCCATAGACCTCTTACAATAATTACGATATCAACTTCTTGTGCAGTATATGAAAGATGGAACAATCATTTTTTTAGGGTCTATATAACTTTTTGTTATTTTTCAGTTCTTTGATCAGACTTGAGCTTGTTTGTGCCTAATAATGAGTCATAGAAATAACTTCTATGACTCATTATAGACACAAACTAACTCCTTAAGTGTTTCATTCTGCTATTTTTTACTGCAGCTCATGTTTTTTAACCATATTATACATTTAGAATATTTTTTGTTTTGTAATTCTACTTTAGAGTTTTTATGTGAGTTCCATAAAGGCTACATATAGTTCCTTTAAATGTATTGTGGATTGTTTTTGTAGCATCAGGAAGGTGCTCTATTCTAAAATAAAATAATACTGGTCTTTTTATTTTCTTTTAGTTATAATCACAGTTTTGTCTCTATTTGTGTAGCAGCTGCTTTGCAATGTAAATAGATTTATCTCCACTGATGCAAAAAAGATTATGGCCTTTTATTACCTGTTCCGTTTATTTTGTAATTGTGGGTATGGTCATTGTTGAAGGATTACACAGGCTCAAAATGGCCAGTGGAGTACTTACCAACTCGAGGAAATATTACATCATCATAGCTGTGTAGAAATTTTTGGTTACTTTTCCAGGAATTTTCTTTTCTTATGGTGCTGTGTTGTATCCTGGAAATCATTTTAAGTTCCACTCTTGAGGGTTTGTCAAAAGTCTTGCAAATCAGATACTAATCGATACGGAAACTATAGAAACTAGATACCCGTTTGAGCAAGTATCATTTCCAAAAGAGCCACATTCACAGGACAGAAATGAATGATCTTGAGCTGTATCAGAAAGTATTCAAGCACATAAATTGGTATACACTGTGGAACGTACCTGGACCACTGAACAATTACACAGATGGGAAAATAAAGGAAGTACTAGGATTTAATGTTGAAAAGTACACTCTGTTTTCTAAATAAAGAGTGTTTTTATTATCTGTAGTATGGGGATCAGTTCAGTTCAAAATGTTCAAAATGTAGAAGGCTTTTTGGCCACTGTCCCATTAGTTACTCCCTACAACTCCTGTGGTTAATCAATGACGTTTTCTCTTTTGGCATCACATTAGCTTCTCTCTGTGAGTACTTTTACGCTCCTCGGGGGTTTGTTATGGCTTTCACTGGGGAGCTAGCTACTCTGTGTACGTAGCGCGTCGTATTAGCCACTGTCCTCTTTGTTTTTAGCAGCACATGAACGTAGCCACGGAGACGGCATTATGAGCGAATGAAGGTACAGGCCCAGAGGAGGAGAGCGATCCATGTCTCCCTCCCTGTTCTGTCCCTCTCCCCCTCTCACCCAGCCCACTGTCCCGGCGGAGACAGGGCACGAGGGAGTAACCATAGAAACGTGTACCAGCTGCCCCGCCACAGCCAATTGCCTCTGCGGAGAGAGGGAGGGGTTGCCATGACGAAGAGGCTGGCACGCATCCTTTTCTCTGGGCATGTTTGCACAATATTTCATTGCCTGGGTCATGTTCTTTTCTGTTCTTAGGCAAATAAGCAGACTTAACATTGCACTAATAAGAAACCTGGTGTTCTTGGGTAATTGTAGTTTTGATTGACGAAGCTGATCAAACTTAAATTCCATCTGCTTAATTAATGGATTAACAGCTCTAGTTAAGTCATGTTATAATTAGGGGTGTGCATCAATATATTGCCAAGAGTATTTTTTTGTATATTTTACTTAATTATTTTGTGACACGGCTACAGTTTTGTTGCTTGTTCAGAGCAAGGAAACTCATTTATGCAACACATTTGACATTTTCACTGTTTTGATGATTTAAAATGGGTGTGTTTCATATGAACTTTGTAAAATCACTTCTTGTGCAAAGACTTTTAGTATCACAGCCATGATTTAGCCTTTATTTTTTACTGAACCGTATCGAATCGATTTGAAATGCATCATATCGTACCAAAAGTGCACTTTGTCGAGATATGTATTGTATCAGCAACTTCTTAATGATACCCAGCCCTAGTTATAATGTTACCTCCTCAAAAAAAAAAAACATGCCTGAAGTTGTATTTCATTCACACATTTTTGGGTAACCCTTTTTTATTAGTCTGTCTACTTTCCAAATCTCAAAATACTCTGTTCCACCTTGTGATATCGTGAATTGGTAGTTTTCATGTTAATGGCTATCTTTTACCTTTTGTTCAATAGAGATGGCCAATGCCAAGGCTCAAATTATCCAAATGATTCCAGGGAAGGTGTGTGGAGTTTAAAAAGACAGTGGAGCACTTAATGATTTGTGTGTGAAACAAAATAAAACTCCAGGTATTCAGCCTAGCCTGATTCATCAGCTGGTTTCACTTTGTGGAAACTGTCTGACCTTGCAGCGTTAAAATGAGTTTGCTCGACGGTAGGCGGGTACTTTTTTAATTTAACCAATCGCTGCTATTTGGTCATGACGTATGTAATGCGCCACTAACAGGGCTAACTGGTATATTAAGCTTTTCCCAAATCCCGTAGGAAGAAGGGCAATAACGTCTTTCCCCTTGGTAAAATTCACAAAACATTCTCTTTGTTCCGGCTTTAAATCCTCAATCTCGGGCACTGTTGCCAACATGTCTCTTCAATGATCAGTTGGTGTCCGGACTCACACTTCTGGGGTTCTTACAAATCGTCTAGTGTATTCCAATTCCTGAGCTACTCGCTAGAGAAAAATGAAATTGAGTGAATGCACAAGGTAGCGCCAGCCTGACTAGTGCAATACAGGTCCTTTTAAAGAAATCTTACATCTGTAGCGTTGGTACCTGTGGACCCAAAGACCCTGAACACATCAGTGACCACTGGACATGACTGAACCTATATATTGATTAAAACTCAATTAATGGCATATCCCCACCTCCATGGATACCAGACAGATGTGGTTAAATGGCTCCCTGTGCCTTTGGCCTCCGTGTTCTTGTGGAGGGGTTGCTGTGTTAAGTGCTGTTCGGATTGATTGGAGTCAAGGCCAAGTGCTTTATTAAGCCTTCGTCTTTGACTGTACATGGGTCAGATCCACACAATTTCTCATCCCTGTACTATGTTGAGGATTTTATTTTTATTACGTTGATGTTGTTAAAGTCATCGCTGAACGATTTAGTAAAAAATCTCTAATTACAATCGTTCTGAAAAGCATTATGATTATATTTGAGATTTGTGTTTAGGACTGTCACGATAACATAACAGATGAAGTAATATATTTTGGAGCTCATTTATTGTGTGTAGCTTTTCTT